AGGAGAGCGCGTGCGTTTTGCGTGGGGGGGGGGGACCATAGAAGAACTCTCTCTGAGGGTCATTGCCAAGGGTGGCAGACTCTCCTGAGGTCCCTAAACCCGCAGCCTCCACTCAGCCCATAAACCGAGCCTTAACCTGAAAGTGGGTGCAAAGCCTCCATCTCCTTGGGCACGATCTCCCCTTCACTGCCCTCTCTGAGAAAGGACAGCACACCCTTGGGAGAGGGGGAGGAGGGGCTGAGCACAGATCCGCTGCTGGAAATTACTATTCAGCAGAGAAGCTGAGACTTGGGCTGTGAATCACTGCAGGCTCCCTGATAAGTGGCTGCCTGCAGCCCCGCACAGCTGTCTGCTGAGATAAGAGCCTCGTGCAAGCCTCGCTGCCCAACTCCAAGTCAGCTGGGGAGGGCTGGTATGCTGCGCTGGAAGAGCACCAGCGAGTAGGGGGGTGCGTGTAGCCCCAGGACCTCAGAAGCAGACCCCACCCCACGCAACTCAGCAGCATCCAAGAGGAGATGGAAAAGGATGCATCTGTAAGTCACTCTGCTTGCAGCACCCTGAAATAAATCCTGTTGCTGTCAAGAAGTAAGTTCTGCAGTGACAGGACAAGCTCTTCCCAGAGAACCCCTTGCCCCCAGGCTTTGGATCAGTGAGCCCCCATCAACCAGCCGCTGGCTGTTCTCTGTGAGTCCCTGAGGATAGCCAAGGGGTTTGGGTGTGCTTGTCTGACACTCTCAGGGGGTGGTCCAAGAAGCATGAAAGAATCTAAACTGTCCTGCTGACAAAGACCTGAGCTGCTCCCAGCCTAGCATCTAAAGTAAATGATACAGTTTGGTAGCCAGCCCCATGGGCTAGTGGGTAAGGAGGCTAGCTCTCAGATGGCCAGTCCAAGGTTCAAATCCCCACTGTAGCAGCTTAGAAAACATGCCCGGCACATGTGCATGCATGCCCAACACCCCAACAGGATGGGGAGATGGAAAGGGGCTGTGGTGTGACCATTAGGGATTGCTTTCTCCCTCTCCCCTATTTGATTCCCTGTCTCTAGCAAGTGCACAAGCAATAAATTAAAAATAAATAAATAAATTGGAATGGGTGCTGCATGGTAGAAGGTTGAAGGAGTCTGGTCTTGGTTCTGGAAAACAGCCAGCTTTCCAAGACCACCAGTGGTCATAAGTGTTGCTGCCGGGTATCGGGCTGAGCCCGAGGGGCTGCACGTCTCGTCAGGGAGGGAAGGCTGCAGCAGCTTTCTCTTCTGGCTTGAAGAGTTCCCTATCAGCCTAGAAAGTCTTGAATGCTAACCTGCCTCCATGCTAGAAGGCAGGTCATGGAACCGCAGCCCACCCACCCAGCATGTCAGTTCCTTATGCACAGGACCTCACTATGTGTTGCCCAGTTCAGCCTTGAACTCGAGATCCTCCTGCCTCAGCCTCCAGAGTAGCTGGGATCACAGGCATGTGCCACTCTCCACACCTAGAGGTTCCGGCTCCAGAGAGGTGTGCTGGCTCAACAAGGGAACACAGCATGGCGAGTACCCTGGTTTTGCCTTACCGCTCCCCTGGCCCTACTGACTGATCTAGGAGCAGGCTCCAAAAGATCACAGTTGTCCCTACACCCATCCTGGCCACCAAGGCCGAGATGGGACTCTGCGAAGTCCTGGAGTAGGGGAGGGGGTGACCGGAACACTCAGATAGGTCCACTTCAGGCGCTGCCTCCCACCATGAGCCCCACCTTTCCCTTAGAGGGCCCTACCCAAGGGATTCCTAGGCCAAGTCCAGTGCTTGGCTCGGCTCTGCCTTGGGACACTTCGTCTGGGGATAGCAGTGAAGTCTCACACCCAGAAAACAGTCAGGTCACAAAATCAAAATCCACCTGGGGACATAAAAGTACACAGTGCATGGCCAGAGCTCGTGGCCGGATGGACAGTGGCCTTCCAGCTGGGCCTCCGTCCACGCAGCAAGTACCTGTTCATTGTGCCAGGGCCCAGTCTCGGCACAGGGTGGGGCTGGGAGTAGACTCGTGGACTAAGCAGGCATTGCTCCTACCTCTAAGATGGTGGCGGGTAGTGAAGAGGAAAAGAAGACCTGGGGCAGCTGGTGGTGGTGTTGGTTAAGGCTAGTGGATCCCACACGGCCAACTGCACAGCTGGAGCTTGACCCAGCAACTTGAGAAACATGCCAGGCGCATGTGCATGCGTGCCCAAAATCCCAAAGGGAGAATGGAGAAGGGATTGTGGCATGGCCATCCTCCCTGGGGGGGTGCTTTTTCACTGGCCCTCCCTCTCCAGCCAGCACACATCCTTTTAGCAAACTAAAAAAATAAACAAATAAGGAAGGAAGAAAGAAAAAGAAAATCTGTTACAGTACAGTGCCATGCTGGTGGGAGAAGGCGGAGCGCTCACTCAGAGGTGCTGATGGGGCTGCTTCTCCTGGGATCAGGAGTTGGCCCCCGAGGAGCACAGAGGTGACACTCCAGATGGTGGCAAGGCTGCCACATGGGTCTGAAGGACAGAGCGTAAAGAGGCTGGTAGGACGAGAGGACCAGGTGGGAGGCGTGTCACAGGAGGGAAGGGATCATGGGGAGCAGGACTGCTGGGGCCTGGTCCGACTAGTGTTTGAGAAGGGTCTCCCGACCTCTGGGTGGTTAGGAGCTATCTTGGAAGGTGCCCAGTTGCACTCTGGAGCTACAGGAAGGTAAGACCTGAGATGGTGGGGATGCAAATGGGGACAAATTGGAGAGCTGTCCAGGTGGGACTTCACTGCAGTCACAGCTGGGAGAGGGGACGGCTCCTCCTTGAGGGCTGACCTGCCCAGACGTGGCTTTGTTCTTTCGGGAGTGGGAGGTCTACAGCTTCAAGCTGGTAAAGCTTTAGGAGCTACACTGGCCACGCATCTTCCAGAGTGTCTCCACTGCATAGTCGGGGGAAGATCCGGCCAGACACACACTCCCCCCCAGCCCTTGCCCCCCAACTCCAAGGTCGTTACTTGCGCAATTCAGGTCATTGCTCTGCCCACACTGGCCACTAGGGACACTCTAGTCCTTGCCATTTGACTGAGATGCTGAACCATCTCCAGGTCTCCAAGAAGGGAGCAACTGAAGAAGGGAGGGTGCGTAAGCAAGAATGGGGGGAAGGAAGGAACGGAGGGAGGGATGGGTCTCTCAGCTCAGCTACTGGTTTATGCAGTCATTAGTGCCACCTTCGGTGGCCAGGTCACTTGCTCTGCCACATACTGTAGGCTCGTGATCAGATGGACCTGCAGAGGGGGCCAATAGGTTGTGTGGAGGTTAAGGCAGCTGGATTTCACATGGCTGCATGGTTCTAGTCCCAGACTCAGAGGCTTGAAAAACATGATGTGTACACATGTATATCAAAAATTCTGAGAAGAGGGTGGAGAAAGGATTGCAGTGTGGCCATCTCCCCTGGTGGTCTTTCTCATCCCCCTTTGCCTCTGTCTCTCTCCAGCCAGGACACACACCTTATAGCAAACTATTAAAAAAAGAAAAAATGGGACCAGTAGTTGGCGTAATGGCTATGTCACTGGACTCCCATGTAGTTGACCGCGGTTCGAGTCCCGGACTCGGTGGCTTAAACTCATGCCGGGCACATGTGCATGCAAGGCCAAGATACCGAGAGGAGAATGGAGAAGAGATTATGGTGTGGCCATCACCCCGGGGGGATGGGGGATGATTTCTCACTTTCTGTCTCTTTGTTTCTCTCAGTCTTTCTGGCGATCGCACGTGCCCTATAGCAAAAACTTCTCCAAAAAAGAAAAGAAAAAAAAAAAAAAAAGACAGAGATGGCAGTTTTGCAGCTGCAAGCCAAGGAATG